TTATTGTAGAAATAATGGCAACTGTGGACTTTTTTTTTTAATGAAGAGATGAGGGAGGCAGAGAGGAGACATCATTTTTTCAGAATGCTGCTGGATTGGGTTGCTAGAGATTGCAGTGTTTTAGAAATAACTCTTAAGAAGGCTAAAAATTGAAATACCTATGTTAGGTAGTACAAGTGCATGTATATGTACATATAATTCAAAAGCTAGATTAATAGCATATAATTGAATTAATGGACATATAATATTAACTGGAAAATAAAATTCAGTAGGAATTAAGCTTCGGCTAGTATTTTGAACTCTATTCTATGAAGACTTTTTAAGTGTAATTATATATATTTAGAATAATGTGTTGTTACTAATGTTGTCTACAATATTTTGCACAGGAAAAATTGAAAACAAATCCTCACAATGTATACATTTGTGATAGTGAAGCAAATTTGGTTATTTCCTTATTTGTTTTATTTTAAATTAAATTATCACTTTTTACTAAAATCAATGTCTTTACTCCTTTACCTCATCCTAACATGCAGAGACAGAGACAAGAGCCTGAAAGAGAAGAGGTGGGGAAAGACAGGTAGGAGATGGGAGGAGAAAGAAAGCAAGAAAAAAAGCAAGACAGAGAGACAGATTAGCAATTGGGGAGATTTCCCCCTATGATAGAGTAATATATTTTATTCTGAGTTTGAATTTTTCATTCATTAGTCCCTGTCTCTGCTCTTTCTCTCTTCCAATGGCTCTGTCTGTCCATCTATCTGTCATTTGTTTTTTGCCTCTCTCTTTCTCTCTCTCTCTTCTTTCCTTCTCTTCTTCTCTGTCTCTTCATCTTTCTTTCTCTCTCCATACATTCTTAAAGTTTTCTTAACTGTGCTTATAGTACAAGACCAATGATACCCTTATTTTGTCACACTGTGGTAACATCAATTCTTTCCATTCTCTATGGGAATATATGATTTAAAAGACAAGTATACAGGTATATATCACATATCTGTATTAAATCAATTGTGTTTATAATAATGTGTAAATAACTGGGTAAAATTTATTATACCAAGATAATGAAAATGATCTTCATGATTACACCCTGCTTAATATATATTTCTTTCTACTAACATGCATGGATTCTAAATAAAAAAATATTAATTAAATTCCATTTAGGGATATTATATAAATAATAATTTTTTACAACTAATTTAATGTAATTCAGATGAAATTCAATGTTAGCATTTGTGAGAATCTTAACATGTTCCTGTTTTCTTATGAAAATGTACATGCTAACACTGACTGATGGATATCATTATATTGGTACTAAAATGACATTTCTAAAACATTTTAAAAACTAAATCCATAAAGAAGAAGCTGCATTTTTCAATTTTTAATGCATTTTTTTTCTATTTGATGGGCTAAAACAAGCAAAATAATCTCTTCAACAAAACACCTTAAATATCTTTGTAAATTAAGGAAAATTAACTACAAATTAAAGTAAGGGTATGTCCTGTATTATAATACAAGTTTCTATGATTAGAAAAAAACATTTCTTATTTGAAGAACCAATCTTATTATGAATAGAAAGAATACATTTTTTTCCTTAAACAACCTTTGGGATTTCAGGAAAGCATTTTCCCCTATTTATCTTATTGTTTAAACATAAGTTTTTTTGAAGTTATAAACATGTCTTTTATTAATACATTAAAAAAAACCTAAACAGGTGGTCATTTTTAAATTTGTATCATGAATATGAATTCTGAAATAGAATAATCAAAGTCATCATTTGGATTTTTTTTTAAAATACAGGAATCATAACCACTTAAGGAAATAGCAGATGTATTCATTATTAAAAAGATAACTACCAAAAACATTTTTTCCCTTAGGATTCATAAATAAATTTAAAGGAAAACTACCATCATCAAAGATTGCATCCTTTAAAAATGACAGTATGAAATATTTTGGGTTTAATATTTAATATATTTTGACATAATTCAAAGCTAACATTTTATATTAATACCTTTTTAGTTAATCTAAAAAGTTCATTTCTTTTGCATAGCGCTAGCACATAATTTTTCAAAAAAAAAACAGTTTCTCTCTCTTTTTTGGCATGTAATTTTATTGGAAAGATCAGAATGTTGCAATTAATATATGAATGTATAAAATATATTGTTAATGATGCTATATTACAATACTACAAAGTAAATGAAATAAAAAGGGATTCTTAGTCAATAGTGTAATTTGAAAAGAAATTTAATGTATGAGTATAAGCAAAGGAATAAGGAAATACTGTCAACAAAAAAACCCTCAACTGATTATTTAAAAAAATTGATGACTAAATAATGTTGATGAATTTAGGATTTGACATAGATATAAATGTGTGTGTGTGTGTGTATGTAACCAATAAGACCCTTCAATAATAAGCACAGAGGGGAGATAGTGAAAATATTACAAATTCCTAAACCACACCTGCCCTTATTTATGCTTCCTTGAATATGCAGTTACTATATTTCTCTTTTCTGCATATGTTTTTCCTTTGGCATCTGAACTGTTCTTTGTAGAATCTTAGTGATGAAAAAAACCTGTTATATGAGTGTCAGGCTGCAATAAATGTGTGAGAAGATGTATGGGCAAGGGTAGACTGGTCATCTTTCAACATGCCTCTCTACCTGGGGTTCAGAACCATACCTCCCATTCAGTGATCTTTAAAAGGAAAAGAAAACAAAGCAAAGGTCATACAAAATTCACCCTTAGCATTTGGCAGTAAAAATGCATAAAACCTTTGAATGTATTTTTTCTATAATTATTGATGCAATTTAAGTGATGCAGAATAGCTTCCAAAAGGACATTACAACAAATTGTTTTCCTCATGTGAAATGGTCATTTTTAGAGAAATTGTCTTTTATTTTCAAATGTAGGTTATCTTCTCCTGAAGACTTCCAAAATCCAAGATTCTTATACTCACATGCTGTTAAAAAAACATTTTCCTAATACAAACAAGGAAAATTGAGGATAGAAAAGTGACCAAAGACATATTGTTTAGATTTTTTAAATCTCCTCTTACTTAAATGTTAAATTTTATACGAAGCAAATTACTTTTTGGAAACTTTAAGTATAAATTTCTAAGATGATTTCATTTTTTTCTAACTTTTGCTTTAAACATATAAAGCAATAAAATGCTAATATTCATGTGCTGGTGCCTCTACACTTACATGTAAACTACTGAGTATGTATTACACAACCACTAAAGTATTTTAATGCATTACAGTTCATCTTGAAATATTTGGAGAAACTTTAAGGGTTGTTACATTATTACATTATTATTGTTGTGTGCTATTTTATCATAAGGCGAATTTGGATTTTTATTTGAATCTCCCCTCATTTTCCACACTTAGATATCATATCATTGGATAACAAACTAGTAATGTGAGGAGGGACAGTTCTAAAGTACAAATACTCTTCTCATTCTATTCTAGCATTTCTATGAAACAGAAAAGAAGGGACTTCCCTTATATTCCCTAAGCATCTCACTGTTATCAGTATAAGGAAAACATCTGATGTGATGGCAGTTTTTTTGTGTGAGACCTTTCCTCAGAATTATTTTAAAAATCAACTAGTCTTAGCCCTTATTTTCATTTTTTCTCCCAAAGCACTAAATTGTTTCTTTGTAAAATATCTCTTCATAATATCTCTTATTTTAATTCACTTTTAGCAAAAGAAACACCCAGGTTCAATCTAGAGACCTCCTTCCAACATAATTTAGCTAGACCTTTTCTTAGTAAAGGTTTTCTGGTTTTCATTTTCACTTCATATTCTCAAATAAAAGATCCTTTGTTGTCTACCATTTGATTGGACTTAATGAAAAACACTCCATTTTAACTTAACAGTATTTCCCTTTGAATTTATTATATTTAAGGATACTGTCAAAAAATCAAACATTTAATCTCAGGTTTTTTTATACTTCAAAATATATTACTATCATATGGCTCAATGAGGTGATGTAAAAAATGTAGTGAAAAGATTTCAAAAAGAAACGGCAAGCGAAAAACTAGCTTCATTTTAATATGAAACTAAATACTATGGCTAATGTGCAGATTGGGTATGGTAGTTGGCTTTAAAGGCTAACATGTGACAGGGTGCCAACAGCTGAATTGTGCAGTATTGACTAAATGAGGTTCACTGATTTGTATTGAGGCTAATATCTTCTTTAAACAATTCCGTGTAAATTGTGCGTATAAAGTCATTGGAAGCTATTTCTCAGGACAGCCTCGCTGGCTAGCTACCTGCTGGAGTGAGGAAGATAATCAATAGAAAGAAATAGAGCTGAGCATGAGACTAGGAAGCTTCAGAGCAGTTAGTGCTGATAAAAGTAGATGATGTCAATATTTGGGAATAGCACAACTCTAGGATAATAGACAAAAGAGAAGTGCATATGTTGGAGAGTGTTCAAACAGGAGTAGAATTAACACCTAAGTGGCAGATGTTGCCCCAGGCTGCAAAAGACATTATCTATTCCAGGTATTGTTAAATTTCTAGTGCAACTCCATTGCATAGGAGAGTAGATATTTTTAAAGTAATCTATCCAAATTTTACAAAAAAAGTATCTATTAAAAATATTTCTAGGACTCTAAGTTTACAAACATGCTAATTAATATAGATGTTCTGTGCATACACACTTGGTGATTGTATGCTTGATTTTGTTAAACCATATATCTCCTCACTGAGAGTGTTGACATTACACATTATTAGCATCTCTAATAATTTTTTAAAAAACATAATAGAAGAAAATGTAAAATGAAGATTAGTTAGTAAAGTATCTGCCTGCCAGAAGACAATACATCTAAAGTTTTCTTTGCATGTAAATCTGATTAAAACAAATGTTTCACTGATATCCAATCAAATGTCTAATGGGGCTTATTTTTAAAGGTATCATCCTTATTGGGAATGAAGCAATGGTATATTTTTGCTAATTTAATAGTGAAAATCCGTTTTCCTCTTGCTGTCAGGCAATGAAATTTTGTTCTTCTGTGCTGATCTTTCTGCTGATGTATTATGACATAGTCTGTCAACATGAACAGATATGTGAAAGGAGATTGGGTGACTGAGACATACAACCTGAATCTGGCTCTTCTTGAATTTTAAGCATGTTATCATGTTTGGCTACAGCAAGTAAGAATATGCTTACTTTAAAATGCTATTACTTTGATGTAATTTAAGCAAGAAAAAAATAAGCCAGGTGGACTATTGACAGGGTTCTAAAAACCAACTGAATGAGGTAACTTATGAAATATATTAATGAAACATGAAAATACTCTTTCAATATCATATGTTAATACTTATTTAAAACAAATAGTTGCAAAGTGTAAAGATTTCTGTGTGAAGAGTAGAAATCAAAGCAAGCATATTTGATTATTAAATATAAGGATTTCCTTCTAAAGTTAAATAATCCCACTAATGTTGCATGCTTTCTTTGTCACAGATATTTATATTACTTAGTGTTAGATACTTGGATTATATCAGGCAAGTGATTACTATGTCAGGTAAAGAGGTCAAGTTCTATACTTTTAATTTCAAATTCCTCTAAGAAACCTTTTTAGAAGGGCACCTATGCACAGATAAAATACTGATTTAACCTAATTTCTTCTATGGGAAATACAAACAAAGGAGAAACAGTACACTTCTGTAATTTATGCTTTGAAAAATATGCAAGCAGCATTTGTTTGGGAAATGATCATTTAATACACTGACTGTTCATCAAAAGCAACAGATGGCAATTAAAGATATTTAATACATAGAGTTTACAGTGTATAACCTTTGGAAGTTTCGCTATAGATAACATTTTAAAAACAAGATTGTTGGCTGTCATACATCTCATCTTTCTGTCTTAAATCATAGAAAACTATAAGATCCTCTTTTATTATGGAATTCTAAAGGATGCTTCATTTCAAATAAAGTATGCATTTTGATTTAGAGACACAGAAAAAAAATGTTTTAAGATCTATACTTCAACTAATTTGTTAATCTTGTGCCACTTTCAGCATTTGTCACACATATAGACCAGGAAATTGGCTCCATCTCATTCTAGCTCTGTGTTGCATTAAAAACCTCTACCGCAAAGAAGAGCATGATGTGGGGAAAGAATAAATTTAGTTCTTTCTTTAGTAATGCACATATATTTCCATACATTTCACATCCTAAGGGAGCCTATGAATGCATTCAATAAATACAAAACTATAAAGAATAATTCCAGAAAAAAAGGAAAGGGAATTTTTAATTTCTGTATTTAATATATGATCTTAGTTCTGAGACAAAAAATTAAATACTTTGATGGGTTGTACATTTTTTTTTTTAAATCAAAGGCACTTCTAAGCATCAGGGGGGAAAATCAAAAGCAATGATTCTTAGGTGAAACTTCTACTTTGGGTAATATTAATAGGCTTATCCCAAAGCAAATGAAATTGGAAGTGCAGTACTGTACTATCTTTAAAGATAGGTTTCTATATTATGGGAGCCTAGGTTTGTCTTCAGTTGATCAAAGTCTACCTTGCTTATAAAAAAAAAAAGTGTAACCCTGTTAAACCATAAAGGTATGTTTATGCAATAAGATCAGCCAGACCCACTTTGCTTATTAAAGACAACAAAAAGAACAATTTGTGAATGAAGTGCAATACTAATGAGGGAAGCTTTAAGCATGATTAGTTGATGACTATTAAGAATTTATTAAAATGAAATATATATCACAGGTGAAGGAGATTACTAACTCCTACTATGAAGATAGATTTGCCATGTATATATTTCACTATACTTTAAAGTATTTGAATTTGACTGTGTTCTGAGAAGACAATGCAATGTAGTCGATTTATGAGAGTCTGATGGAAACAGGACTAGGAAAGATTATGGCATACTTGTTTAGAAAAATTGTGAACTGAAGGTTCCTGATTTACACTGACATATATCTAGATGAAACTATAGTTTGCAAATTGCCTAGAGGAGCCATCTTTTATTAAGTGTTTGATGGGTACTGAACTGTACATATCTATTCTAAAATATATCAGGAATCCTGATATTATATTTGCAAATGTGGTCTTCACAGTTTTAGATTAAAACAATCTTATTACACTTGAGTTTGCTTTTTCAAATCAAACTTTTAAAAAATAATATTTTGTCCATTAAATGAATCAGTTCTGGTAAAGAAGAACATTTGGGAATTTTCTGATATCAATGGATGAAAAGATTAAATAACATTACAGAATTTTGAGAAACTGCATAATGCATTTATGTGCTTCAGAAGTTCAATGGTCTTAAATGTTTTTGGCATTTTTCTCCCTACTTTAGAGGTGAAGAAATAAAACTAAGAAGGTTACATCTACACAGATCAGCTTCTATTTGTAAAACTCGAAGGTCTACTCCATTTCTTTTTATAACTGGATTGACTCACTATGGGCTTCATCTGAAGAATATGGCTGATTCACCCCAAACTTATCAGGTTGGTGAAAGGTCCTATATGGTTTGATTGAGGAACAAAGAAGAGTCATTATTCCTATAAACATTTCCTAAGACCAAGCATGGACCACATATTATCAGCAATCATTTAGAATTCAGTCCAAGGCTGTTTCACTTGTGGAGTGATTCCCAACCCTGTTTTTGTGAGACCTGAGGGTTTCCTTTTCCATTAAAAGCTTTTAAAACATCTTCACTAGAAATTAAAGGTTATATAAGTCTTCTAAAAATCTTTATAAAAAGGAAATAAAATTATGTCATTGAACAATTTTTCTTTTTAATTGGGCAAGGGGGATGTCATGAAATCAGCTAATAACAGGTAATCACAAGTACAAAAGTACTTTTATCTTTTCTTTCAAAATCTTCCACTCTAGGCCCAGATTCCCTTGTGCTTTGCAATTTGCTATAAATGAGATGGTATCCAGAGTACAGTAGGTTTTCCTTTATTGCATGACATACAAATTCACAAAGTGGCTTCTTCCCCTGAAATAGCCAACACACTTGGACAATCTGTCTCAGTAATTACATTTAATTCTTAAATTATTAGATACTAGTTCTGCATTATTGTTTTTGTCAATAAAAACACTTTTGGATATTTTCTTACTGTTTTGGAAAAACCAGTAGTGTGGTTTTAAAACCTAGGCCTGGCCAAAAAGTGACTACGGGGAAGCTACATTTCAGACATGACAGTCTCTCCACCCCTAGTACCTTCCCTACAAACACCAGGAACAACTTTTAATTTATTTATTTACTTAATTTTAAAAAGGCACCTTGTTATAAACTTGTTAGAGTGCGGACTTGGACTCAGGAAGATTTAGATTCAAACACTGCCTTTGATACTTAGTAGCTCTGTTGTCTGTCTCTCCCATTATATTATATTGTAAGCTCTTTTGACAAAGGCAGGACTGTCTCTTGACTTTTTGTATCCTTAGCACTTAGCACAGGTACTAGCATAAAGTAGGTGCTTAATAAATGTTTATGATTAGTTGAAATAGCCTGTTGGTCTCAGTTTCCTTGTCTGTAAAACAGGGCTACCAATACTGCACCTGGAGTACTTATCTCAGATGTTTATTCTTAGTCTTAAAAGAGATTATGTTTGTAAAAGGCTTTGCAAATGTTAAAGTGCTCTTTAAATTTTAGTTATGATTTTGGACCCATCCTTCTGGGCTGCCCTAGTGAATAAAATATTTCATTTTACCTACACAAATAAAAACAACTTAACAGAATTATCTTGAAAGTAACAAGCTCAGACCCTTGAGGGCCAGGATTTTCATTTTTGTCTTTACATCCCCAGTACTTAGAACAATGCTTTGGACATAGTGCTGTTTAATGAATGCTTATGTAAGGAAAAATCAAAGAGACTTTTCTCTCTCATAATAATAATATAAATAAAAAAACTCCAGAAGTTTAGTTAACAGAAATGCTCAAGAAAAAAAAAAGCTAAGGTAATATTACAGTCATGGAATCTCAGAGTTTAAAGGACTTTCAGTAATTAATTTTTTTTCATTTAAACTAATACCAAACCACAATCTGCTATTCTATATACTTTGAAAGTTGATTTTAAAGAAAGCATTTGTGTAGGACTTTGCACTGATAAAAACTTTTGATCCATGATTTACCAGTGTGGCTGCTTCCTTTAATAATGTAGGTAGTAAACCACCCAGGTCTTCTCCCCCTTTCCCACCCCCACTAGTGTTTCTTATTCATGTCCTCTCATATATCCTCTATAGGTCATATTTGCAGTGTATGGGAGTCTCTCTTCTAGGATTTTTAAGACTCTGTGGATACAAGTGGAACATTCAGAGTGCTTCTTTTATACTTTATATCATTAGCCTACCCCTTTGCTGATCATAAATTCCCAAGGTGGTATTTTTTTAACTCACTTCATAGTAACAAGACAAACCATTTATATAGCACTTTAAGGTTTGCAAAGCACTTTATATATGTTAACTTATTTGATCCTCTCAACCACCCTACTTGAATGAAAGTTATCAAGGGTTACTCTTGCCATCAATAGGGACTTTATAATTATTCTATTAAATTTCATTGTATTAGATTCAGCAATCATTTTAACTGCTTGAGATCTTTTTGGATCCCTTCTTTGCCATTCCACATATCAGCTATTTATTTCAGCTTTGTGCCATTTTCAAAATAATAATCATGTCTGTAAAGTAATTTTTAAAAATATTAGCTCTGTAGCGCCAAGGACACATTTCATGAGACACTTGGCTAGAGACCTTTTAAGATTTTGTCCATGAGGGTGGTATGAAAACTTCATTAAATGCTTTGATGAATTCTAGGTATACAATCTATAGCATTACATATTATATTAGTCCATGAAGGCTGTCATAAAAAGAAATCAGATTATCTGACATCACCTATTTATAATGAAGCCATGCTAGTTAATAGTGATCAACATTTCCCTATCTAAATGCTCATATGACTGTCATAATGGTAATAAATTCTCCCATTTCCAAAGGATTTAAGGCAAATTCACCAAACTTTAGGCTTCAAAATCCACCCCTTTCCTTTTAGAGGAAGGCAAAGTTGAATTTCTTTCTTTTTAACATTTTCATGGATCTTTTGTTTTCATATCACCTACACTTCCTGGTATATCATTTCCTATCTCCTCCCGTAAGCCCTACCCCTCATAATAAAGAATCACAAAAAAGAAGAAAAAATACTGACATAAAAACTAATCAACACATCAACCACATTTGAGGTAGTATTTCACCTCTGCCAAGAAGGGAGAAAGGTATATTCTTTGGGGCAAAGCTTAGTCATTATAATTTCACGGAATTCAGTTTCTATTTTTTTTGTTCTTTCTATTTAAATTCTATTCATTGTGCACATTGAGAAATTTTCTCCATTCCCTTAGCTTCTGACATATTCTTCATGACTTTTCAAAGATACTGTCAATGACTCAGCAATCACATCCAACAATTCTTTCATCATGTCCTTAGTTCAAATTCATTGGCACTGCTATGTACTTTTGTTATCTCCTGACATATATAATTTTAACTCCTCATTATCGATTTTAGTCCTATCCTTCCCAGTCGTGAAAGGATTCTACTCAGGAGGAAAAAGTGAAGCTAACAAAACCTATGTACCACAGAATCACAATTTTAGCAAAGATGACTGTGGTCATCTGGTCCTGCCCACACAAGAATCTCCATCTGTCATGCAGTGATTGAATGAAAACTTGAAGTCAGGAAGAAATCCACAATGTCCCAAAGGAGCCCATTCCACTTTTGGATAGCTCTAATTGTTAGGAAGTTTTTCCTTACATCAAGTCTTTTTTTTTTCATTTTTTTGCACCTTCCTCCCTATCTCTTCAAGTTCTGCACTGAAGAATTAAGCAGAAAGAAACCTGTCTTCTATCATATTAGTTATTCCTCATCAATTTGATAATTATGCCCTCTATACCTATATTTGTAGTTTTGTCTTCTTTCTGTCATCTGTGACTTTTGTTATTTCTCAAACAAAGCAGTCTTACATATTTTCCTCAACATCAGTACCTTTCCTTTTTTTATTTTTAGAATTCATTGCTAACCTTAGCTTATCTTCAGCTTTCATGATATTTCACTATTTTCATAGGACTAGGCCACTCTTTTTTGTTCATCTTCTATCAACTACTCTTACATATATCTTTCATTCATAAGGACTAGAATAGGATAGAAACTAGATTTCTGATTTTAATGGTTTTGGAAACTTTTGGACAAGAAAACTGCAACTTATGTTGATGTGTGCTCTGTGACTAATAATCTTGAGTGTTGCCTTATGAAAATGAGAAGTCAAGTGACTTCTCTAGAGTCACACAACCAGTATGTGGACAAAACAGGACTTGAACACACATATTCTTGACTCTAAGGCCAGCTCTTTACCCACCATGTGATGATGATGCCTCTCTGTCCATGTCTTTAAAAAAAATCATAGTTGCTGAATGAGTCAATTCATGCCATCCTTTTTAGATAGCTTCCCTTTTTGGTTCCCTTTGGAGTTATTTGTTTTTGGTGTCTGCAGAATATAAACCGTTTGAGGACAGGGTCTGTTTTCTACTTTTATTATAGTGCCTACCACGTCTAGCACAGTGTTTAACAAAAGGGGGAGGCAGGAGCTAGAGGCATAACTGCCATTTTCTTCTCTCTCCCTTCTTTTTCTCTGTCTCATGACTTGTTAACTTCTATTCTCTTGTGAGGTAGCTTCCAGCCTCTCCACCAGCTGTCCTGTAAATAAACTTCTATTCTCTTGTGAGGTAGCTTCCAGCCTCTCCACCAGCTGTCCTGTAAATATTTCCATCACCCATTGTACTTTGCACAGACTTTTAGAAGGGATGAAATCCCCCATAAAATAATGTAAAGCAAAACTATGTAACTAGAAATGGTTGGGGTTGTTTTGTTGTTCTTAGTCCTTCTTTCTCTAAGAGGATCAATGACATCAGGAAGGTGATGTCATGACTTGCAAATGAGTTGGATTTAAATGAGGCAGGGCTGTGTAGTCACCAGCCTCACTCTGTCCTCCAAAGCCACCTGGGTCCAGAGGCAAGATATAGATTAGGATGACTGGAGATGGCCCCAGATGCAGTGGGAAACCTTGACCTTTTTAAGCTAAGGTCTTTCTTGGTCTCAAATGTTTTGTTGTTGTTGTTGTTTTTTTGACAAAACTGTCTAAGATTAGAAATAATAAGTATATGAAAAATGAATGGGGGGGTGGGGCAAGGACTAGTAGTAGGCAAATAGATAACACAGTGAGTAGAGCACTGGACTTGGAATTAGAAAGGGGACTTGAGTTGGAATCCTTTCTCAGACATATATTAGTGGTGTGACCTAGGGCAAATAACTAATTTCCATCTGTTTCAGTTTCCTTATTTGTAAAATGGGGACAATAATAGCACCTAACTAACTCTCAAGGTTCAAGTGCTGATCAACTGAAATAATGTTTGATAAAGTGCTCTTCAAACCTTAACTATTAGATTTTTTTTTAATA